CAACCTGAAACGTCTAGTGAACCACAACTTTTCACACAAGGTGAACTTAATGATTTGGTGAGAGATTTCAGCCTTCCAAAGGATTCTTTAGAGATTTTGGGGTCTGTATTTTGGGCTAAGAACTTACTTTTTCCAGGTACATCATTTTACTGGTACAGAAAACGTGAGAAAGAGTTTATACCATATTGTTCACAAGAAGGTTCACTGGTTTATTACAACAATATTGCTGAATTAATACCAATGCAAGGAGCTGCAGTCTATGAACCACGTGAGTGGCGATTGTTCATTGATTCCTCCAAAAGAAGACTTTAAAAGTCCTTTGTATATTGTTGAGTCAACAATCCAGTTATACAAATTTTGTGTAAATGGGACAGCAGAGCAGTAAATCATCACTGGATAAAGAAGCAATGGCCACGCAGAGTCAGCCTCATACCAGGATTGAAAAACATTGAACATTAATAATATTAATCAATTCTTTATTCTAAAGTTGTAAATTTTGCAAGCAATGATTGCAAACCCTGCAACTTATTTTATCAGATGGATATTCATTACAGATGTGTTACTTTAACCAGTTCACTGTAGCTGGGACAAATATTTCTTATTATCAGTGCTGTTTACGCCTTCCTCTGATGGGTCCAGATTCATCTTGACTATCATCACTAGATGGAGAGCTAGCATCCTCTTGTCTCATTGCCTCTTCATCATCACACATATTAACATCACTGAACTTACTTTCACTATCTTTTAAGCTTTAATTAGGGTTACTACTCACCACTATTGATACAGGCATGGTTGGCACACAGTTGTTGTACATTCTGCTTAGGCATCTTGTTGGTTATTGAGTGGGAAAACATTGAGGGAAACCATATATCAACATTAGGTGGGATGCCAATAAATACTTTCCAACTCATTTTACCCCCATAAGTCATGTGCAGCAATTTTGAATGACAATGGGAAACATTTATCCCAGTCGCAAGGAAAGTGCTAAGAGTTAGGTTTTAAAATGTGTAGTAGTGTGTACTGAAGGTGCAGTTGTTGGGGAAATGTTTTTCAGTCAACATTTTAATTAAACATGACATCATGAGATATATTACATGCATATCCTGTTGCACTGCTGTCACTGTCTTTTAGTATCAAAACTTACTAGTTAGAATCTAAAAATTATTTTACTACTTATAAAATATTTCTATGTTTTATTTAATAAAAAGAAAATGTATTAATGTCCAATGTGTGCTGTTTCTAACTGCCTGGAACTTATTGAAATTTTGTGGAGAAAGAAAATTGATCACACTCAGTAATTTCACAAATTTGTTTATTTTCAAATACAGTTTCTAAATGCCTGGGACTTGCAAATGAGATTGTGTATGTATTATACAAGATGTTCTGTACTGTTCATTCTCGATGTACATGAACGAGTACCCACATTTATGTTTGCTGTTGGTTCATTGAATCGTAATGCATTGTTCTAAAAAAATTAGTTAATAATGGGAACGTACTTCCCATCAGTACTGTAAGTTTGCTTTCTGTCGAAGAACACGTGGAATGTTAACCATTTGCCACAAGAAAATAATAATTTCTGTGAGAATTGTGAATTTAACTTTTATTCTTCAAATAAACCCTGTTGCATAGAATTCTGCTGATCTGTATTATTTGTTTCTGTCAGTTGTTAAACTGTGACAGAAAATTGTAATTTTTTGATGACTGGACAACCTTGCATTGTCTGAATAGACAAACAGCTGGCTTCAGGAGACTAAAGGTTCGGTAAGCATCATTTATTAATCAACAGTTTTATACAGTAATCCAAGTTCTTTGGTTTGGTTCCTGAGTGAAGATCAGTGTTTCTCATAAGTTTAATATTTAACAATTATCAAGTCTTAATAAATGCTTAAATGTTTTTCCTTTTTGTGGAAAGATCACGTTCCAGGTCTCCCATTGAACGTAACAAGGAAAGAGACAGAAAGGATTATTCTAGGGATAGAGGTGGGGAAAGGCGTCAACAAAGACTGACAGGCTACAGACGTGTGTATGTAGCTAATATACCTTTTGAATCTAAATGGACGGACATTAAAGATCTATTCAGAGAGCAAGGTGAGTTGTATTTCAAATATAAAGAGTAATATCATGATCTTGCCTACATTGTAGTTTTAAGGGTAGTTTCTGTTTTGAAACTGAATTACAGGTTATTATTATCTCCAGCAATACGTGCACAATTTGTATGTTTAAAGTCAACCAAAAGGTTAAATTATTAGAAAAATATTAACATATAAAATATTAGGGTGAGATGTCACTGGAATCATGAAATAAAGAAAGAGGGAGTTGCTTTCTTCTTCAAAGTGTGTGTGTGTGTGAAGGAGGATATAGGTTCAAGGTCATTATGGGATTCAATAAAATGTAACATAGAATGTCATCAATTATATTTTATTCATGGATTTTAGCTTGTAGAGTTGTTAAAGGATATTATTTGATGTTTCATCAATAATATATCTAAAATTATTGTTTTTATATGCTTATAAAATTTAATCAGAATTAAAAAAATACACTTAAGATATTTTTTGATTATATGAGTTAGGAGACCTGTTGATTTTATTTCTTTATTTTGAAGATCATTTTCTGATTTGTATCATGTATACAAGATCACTGTTAAAGTTACAGCCAAAAAGATAAGTAACCATATAAAAAAGGGCTAACACAATAGTTAAACAAGTATAGGGAAATTTTGAAAAATATATAATTACAATTTTTTAAATAACATAAGTTTATGGGTAAGCCAATCATCTAAGCTCATATGATTTGAAGTAAGAGCCAACTACTAACAAGACATGGAACTCAAACCGGAAGTACTTCTTGGACAGTAAAATATATAGATTGCAGCGATGAAAGTAATAAAACTTTCACTGGAAAGAACTAACAAATTCAAATCAGAATTAGTAATGTTTGCATCCTTAAAAACACAAGCCCAGTAAATAGTGAACAGACTGCATTCCTTGAATCTGTTAGAAATGTGTGCATGGTAAAGAAGCCCCAGGTAGAACCTGAAGACCTGCTTTTGTAATAGCCAGATTGATAATGAATCTAAGTTTCAAATAGACAGCAACTTACAAATGTAGAGGATGACGTTTCGAAAGTCTGCGGAAGACTTTCAAAACGTCGTCTTCTACATTTGTAAGTTG